GAACATTGGTTGAATTCATGGGAAATTCAGCTCAAGTGTTTCGAAAGTACGGGCACTTATTCCCTGAAGTGAAACGAAAACCACTTTTTTTTCTGGCAGATTAAAATCACTCTTTCACATTTGAAAGCTCAACGTGATCTGCTTTGCATTCAGATCATGAAATTTAAATAACTTAACATATAACCATGTCCACTGATTCATTCGACTTGATGAGAGAAAAAAAATTTCTGAATAAGCTTCCAACTTGAGCAAAATATATTGCACAAGGCTCTTCTGGTTTTGAGTTTTTAATATGTTAAACAGAAGATTTCTTTGCTCGGATGCTGTAAAAGTACAAACACGTATTACGCCTGAAGTCTCATAGTCTAGACTCTAGAGATTTAAAACCCCCATAAAAATTCAAGAACCTAACCCGCTTCGAACCAGGAAGAACACTTGTGACCAAATTTAAAATTTTAATTTTACCTGCGCGAAAAATATCCGACATTGAAAAATATAACGCAGAAATCGTCACAGAAGATATTTTTTTTCTTTTTTATAACCAAAAGGAAAAAAAATTAGCGCGAGGTCTTTAGATTAGGGTTTATTCAGGTCGTCATGAAAACTTGCAAAAAATTCGAGATCATAAAAATGAGGGGAAAGGGGTGGAACCAAGTGCAAAATATTTTCTCAATTTTATTTTACTACTGTACCATGAAATCCCGGAGCCTTTTAATGAGGTCACCGACCCTCGAGAAATGAAAGCTGTCGCCTTAATTTTTGCTGACGAAGAAACGAGAGAAGCTTTCTTTCATGAGTTGCAGGAATTTATTTCGTGGAAGGCCCCTATCGGTTACCCGGGTTCTTTTCGCAAATGCTGCAAGCCCAAGATTAGTGAAGGCAGTCTATCATCAGAGACAATCCAGTACTTGTTTATATTTCCTCATCATTTTTGAGTACCCCGGTATTTTATTCCGCCACCCAGCACGACAACATAAGAGGCGATGATGAAAAGCATAAATTGAAAGATCTCGAAACGTATAACTTGACTAAAGAGGTGCCCTATTTTCGGAAACAGGCAAAAATCAGCATATTAATTCTGACAAAATAATTGAAAAGACTTTTGAACCAAATTGTGCAGATTTTCCACATGATTGTGGGAATGTGCACCATTTTGGATTATTAAAAGTGACGTTGTGCTCTTCTAAAATCCCAACATCTTCAATTCAAATTCGTTATAGAGCCTGTAAATGTTCAATATTTAATTAAGTACTGTACCACATCACACGCATTTTCTCTGGATAATCTTGAAGGAAGAATGAAAACAAAAAATATGAAAACACTGTTCAGTACATATAGTAAAAAAAATTAGCAGTAATGTATTAGGTGAAAAATTGATGGAAAATCTCGTTTGGCTCCAATCCTGCTCCAAAATTGCTCAGTCTATACGGTTTCTTATTTAATAATAAAATTTGAAATAAATTCATTTTTTGGGGAAATTGATTTTCAGTCAACAAAAACCATGGTTCCCATCAAATGAAGGGATATTCTTTATTTTGATGAATTTTGTGCCAAAAAATCAAGGCGAAAATCTCGCTTCAGGGCACATGGTATTTGAGTAAATAAAGTAATATAGACCTCCGCAACTAAAATACTTCTTCCTACAAACTTCTATATCTCAAATTTTTAGAGACTTTCGGGATATTATATTTTAGACACAGGAAAGGGGGGGAAATGTACATTTAGATGCTTGCCAAAAGGAAGTTAGTGAATAATTGGGCAAATGTAGCCTTTGACATCAAGTTTGGCATTTATTCCATCAAACTAATTGCCCAAACGGCTTAAAGCACAAAATATCACCAATTTTACGTTCCTGCAATTCATGAATTTTTTTTCTAAAGCTAAAATGCTGGTTTCTGTAACTGCAGAACTCTGTAGGTAACATCTTTTTTTTATCCCATCTGAGTTTGATTTGAAAAGGTTTGACTGTATCTGTTGCAATATCCACAATTAATTATTAAAAATCTATCTCCCAAAAATGATGGCAGTTCAATATTTATGCTTTGGTATGTCCCATCATGTGATTTCATTTCAGATCAATTTTTTTGATAGACAGGGAAACTTTTTTTGCACCCCATGAATTTTGACCAGCGGAAAATTCCGCTTGTTTATCAATTAATCACTCAATCTCTGCACATCGTAATTTCAGGGGTATAACTAGAAGAAAAAAACGCATTTCACTGAGAATGCTCAATTAAAAAAAAAAAGGCTAAAAGATACACATGTGCGTGCCAATCAGTCCGCAATATATAACAGTATAGTGAAAATGGTACTGACGGGTACTTTTGAACCGTCCTACGTCTAAGTTTTGTACTGCACGTAAGTACAGAAGAATAGGATATTGTGGAACTTCCTCTCTCTATCGCGAGGAAGAAACACGGAAATGCGAATATCCGGCTTGATATCCACTTGCAGGGAACCGGGTGTTGTCGTTTTTTTTCCTTCTCTCTCTCTCTTCACTCTTCCCCCACCCCCCCCCCCCCCCCCCCCTTTTTGCGGGTTGACCTCGTGTCACGCTGCTGCGTCGCGGCGAATCCGCTTGTTCACGCTCTTTTTTTTTTTTTTTTTTTTTTGCTTTTTATTATTATTATTTTTTTCTTCTTCTCTCACTTGTTCTTTTCTCGCTGACAGAAACACCATAGATGAAGAAATCGCTCCATTCTGCGGTTTTCGTTGTTCAATCTCTTCCATCAATGCAGCTATTATTTCCCCGGAATTCGTCATCGTGTCCCTTTGGGTTATTGCTTATTGGGGACGCATACACACGACAGGGTTTATTCGTAGCACATGTGAATGTTCCGTAATAATTTTTTTTTGTGTTCACCGAGCTGTTGTTTTTAAACAAGAGGAAATATTAATTTTGAAGCGACAAATGTCTCTAAAAAAAAGTTCACTATAGCTATAACATGAATCATTTTTTCGATTTAATTTATTCGGCATATATTGCGGCAGCTCTGCCTTTTATACTTGCCCCAAATTCAAACATGTCGAAAATACGCGAATTAATGAAAATAATCCAACATGGTGATTTTGGAGAAATTTTGTACATAGAAATGCAATATTTTAAGACGCTCGCCTGAATAGTTTGTAGTTTGACGGGAATTTGAGACTGTAAAATCTGATGGTTTTAGTGATACTGTACTGGAATTAACTTTTCATTTGCTACTCATGATAATTCTTTTTTTTTACACTTTCTTGCGTTTAGTTCATGACCCTCAGTTTATTCACGACGAAACAATAAGCTATACTGCTCATTTATTCGTCAAGATGACTGTGCAAAGTATTTTAAAATCAGTACATTGGTAAATAATGTTTCAAAAATATTTTACTTCCTCAGATGAGGTTAAAACACCGGTAACACGAGTCTCGTCATTATTTTATCATCCATTTTACAGAGACAAAACTATTTTCTCGCAAAATTAAAATTATTGAGAAAAACGCGTAGAGTTTATCAGCGAGGAAAGCTATTTTGTTGTCGTTTGAGGGTACGCATAAAAATAAAATTAGCTCTTCAGAAGTGAAACCCACGCAGTTTCGGCTGCTGGAGGTTTCCTCTGCATATTTTTGGCATAGAAAATAACATCGAATGCTGCTGGCGAAGTTTTTTTTTTTTTTGCTGAAGCAGGCCAGAAAAAAACGAAGAAATTCCCCGCGAGGAATATGAATCCCTTTCTCTGAAAAAATGCGCATGTGTGTGTGTAAGTTTTCTGCGGGGAAGAGCAGAGACGAACCCAAGCCTCACGTAGAAAAGGAACCGGGTTGCGCAAGATCCCGCTTTTTTTTTTTTCCTGGCTCTCTCACCGGACGAAGAATTTATCGCCTTAACGTGGCCGAAGTTCACGGAAAAGGTCTTCGTTGGTACTTTTGTGTGGTGTTTCACAACCCAAGATGCCTATTCGTACTTCGTTACTTCCACGTACTCATAATCAACTCGATTGCCACCCTTAAAATACGAGAAAAGACACAAAAAAAGTACCGTACCTTATTTCACCGAATCATCTTCCCTTTTACAGTCTGAACCTCTTTAAATCGTATTTGTGGGGGAACACGGAAAAAGTTGACTTGGAGAGATTTTGAGTCACGGAAACCAGAATTTGTCCCTTGTAAGGTTGCATAAATGAAGTACTGCATTACAAAAACTTGAAATTGCTGATGAAAGTTCTTGGCTTTAAATTCTTGAGGAAATGGTTTGAAACTTCGATGAAAAACTTGAACCACTCACCTGCCTTGGAAATGCATCGTCGAAATTTTTTTAATTTTCGTGGGCCTTTCGAATTAAAATCCAAAGGCCTATCAAAATTTGAGTTTTGAGAAATATTTTGAGTGAAGGTGGTCTCGATTACATTGCTGATAACCCTTCTAAAATAGAACTGGGATATTTTTTGTGCGACAAACGAATAAAAATGAAAAATAAAAACCTAGTCTGAACAGTGCAGAGCATAGGTCTAGAAAATTTAAAAAAATTTTTTTTTTTTGTGCAGAAAATTTTTTCTGAAAAAATTATTTGCTGCTGGATGGCATTTTTTCCGCATTCCTGCCAAAGGATTAGGATTAAGGTATTTAAAAAAAATTGGGTTCAATTTCCCAGATTTTTCTAGACCTTGACTATTAATCCATGGCTGTTTTTTTTGTGTGACCTTTGGTCATGCAAAAACATGCCTGTGTGCAAAAATATCCCAGCACTGCCATGTGTTGGAACATAACCCACCTCAGTCATAGACAAGGACTGAACAAAAATGGATAACTAGTGAGATTTTTTTCATAGATTGAAATTAGCAAGGTCATACTTAGTGGAATTTTTCTAAATCATGGACCATAATGATGTGATTTCAGAAAAAAATCTGAATTTACTCAATATTCCTCAATTGAATGCAATAATGGAACTGAAATATTAAACCCTTTTTGTGGGAGTTATTACTTACTCGAGTTATTTATTTATTTTTATTTTTTTCAATTCTAAGGCCATTTCCCACAAACGTCCAAGTTTGGAAACGTTAGTCAATTCAAATCTTCAAGTGATGAAATGGAGCTCAGCAGAAACCGCAAATTGATGCTCTCAGCAAATCAAGTCCTGCTTTTTCAATCACAAATTAAAACAGAATAAACCGTCAGCTTGATTATGACACAATTCACTGTACAAAAAGCTCATGAAACCGTCCCTTTTTTTTGTCAAAAAAGCCATGATTACGGTCTAATTTTCTGGTAAACCAAATAATCGGAGTCGTACTCAAATATCAATATAAAATAGTACTTATGATCAACAACACGTCAGTTCACCGAAATTGGGAATAGGGCACTTATGTGCCCGTGTAAGTACCAATCAACTGACGCTGAAAAGGCTCCATATAAACATATTCCTCCCACCTTCTAAAAATTGTCCATTTGCTAACTTCAAGGCAAAAATCCACCCTGTTCGAAAAACCATTTCTGTCCGATTCCAAATAAAGGAAAAAAAACGAGGGAACTGTTTTTTTTAAATAGGAAAATAAAAGTTTCTAACACAGTTTGCATCCGCGGGAGAAAGGGAAAGGATTTACGATAGTTGTGTTATTGTCGCCTGAAAGAGGAAAACTTTGTTTCGAAATCCTCACGATTACCTCACTTGTCAATCGGAAAAGAAGAAGAAAAAAACATGTGTTAGGCGTTTTGAAGAATAAAAAATGAGAGGCGATATCTGTTGCTTCGAACGTTCGGTTGACGTTCGAAACGAATGAGATTTTCCTTTTTCGGCCACCGAATATATCCTAGTGTAAAGAAAAATACACTCGCAATTTGTTGCTCCTCTTAGGAAAGCAAAAAAATAAAAATACAAATACAAACCTGCCGTGAAAGTCGAAAGCATTTGAAAAGTTTTCCCTTTCGTCTGTTTATGACCCATATTTTTTTCCCGAAGAAAAGGCGAGAAAATCTGCAGGAGGCGAAAAACCTAGTGATGATTGAGTCATTCTCCCGATCGAGCATGAAGACAATTCAGACGACCTGCTTTTTTTTCACCGTCGGGTCTCTTCTTATTTTACCTAGATTTTATTTTTCTGACTGGTCATTCTTTGAACTTCCTCATGTGAGGTTCAGTTGTTCCGAGTATCACGATTAACCCCAGCATGTGAAGAAGACGCAGTCACGCGATTTCCGCACCAAGACCTTCCGTGTCGAGAAAGAAACAGGATTGAAAATGTGTTTGTTTTTCACGTCAAGTAAAATACAGTAGCAAATTTTTCATGTCAGCTGTATTGAACAAAAAAGTCTGACGACTTCATGGAAAAACGCCGGGCGGAAAGAAAATGCCTCGTAAAATATTAGTGTTCGGCGGAACGCAGAAATATACTTTCATCTCACGAGGTTAATGCAAAAAAATCTAAAAAAATTATTAAATTGTTTCTGTTCCACCGAAAACAGAAAAAAAACATTGAGAATGTCTCGGCAAAAATTTCTTTCAGGGAAAATGCGCCACGAAATGAAAATTCAAAGCAGAAAATTACTTTATTCCGGGTAGTGATCTGGTATTAAAAACTCACGCAAGAATAAAAAAATATTTTCTGCAAAATACACAAAAATATTGGTTGACTCCGGGTCTTACATGAAAATGTACTCAAAAGAATGTGTCAAAGCTCATCTGTTTTTCTCGACAAAAAATGTCATGCCCAAAAACACCAGATCAGAAAAAAAGTGTCAGGGTGTGAAATTGACGGATAAGAAAAATAACGCTCAGAAAAAATCAAGTGAAATACCATAATTTAAAAATGCACGCAAAAAATAATTAAAGACGAAGAAAACTTGTGGAGGTCAGAATTGTTTTTTTTGTCACACGATTCTACTTCCGCAGAAGATCATTAAAAAATTGATTAAGATGGGACGATTTTTAATCATTACACGAAATAAATTGGATCTCGTTTCAAAACCAGGTGATTCTCCCAAACAAAATTAATCTGTCATTTTTGTTCAATTCCTTCATTTCCATCCGCGTTTGAAATGGATTCCTTCCACAATCCGAAAAAAAAGTTTTGCGCGAATTTAGAAGTTTTCAGAGTTAATCATTACCGAACGTCTTTTATTGAGAAGTTTTTTTGAGAATAATTATCGCGAAATAATCATTAATCATGTTTTTTTTTTGTCCTGGCCGACAAAATTAGCAAATTTCGAAATTTTCTCCGTTTTCTGCTTGAAATAATTGACCGATTCTTACAGCAATAATTCTGCGTCGTGAGCTTCCAACTCCAGCAAAAAATGTTCAATGTACTGTAGTAAACTTTCAATGGCACCAAACACTGCCGAAAGAAAAAAATACTGTGCTACACATTTTCCAAACATTTTCGAGGAATACAAATTTGTTTTATTATTATTGCAGCATTCCACATGCCGTTGACGGAGTGCAAAACGGAAGAAGAAACAAAAATACGAAAATGTTGCGCAACGTTGTTCAGCACATACGACTTGTCAAATATTTATCCCGTCGTCCAAACTCGTCAAGACTCGAATTGTTTCTTCCTGTCCCGAATAGTTTTCCCCCTGGTGTGTCAAAAGTTGAGTCACACTGCGTCTCATTGTTTGGTTGTTGCCAGCAGTAGGAAAAGGAACTATACAGAATAAAGATGAAGTGAATGGGGAAGGAAGTGATTAACCCCTGAAGGAAAAAAAAAAAATGTGGGGAAGGAAGCGACGTTTTCTTGCTTTCGACGTGAGGGCGCATAAATCCTACCTTAACTGTTTCCTTCTCCGAATGCTCTTGTGAAATATATTCTGCGACGGTTTGCTGAGGATGATTACGGTTACTGATAATCAGATTGGCTCAGGGTATACATTTCCAGTCTCTCATCTTCTCAAGGGCTCTTCCCGAAGTTCTTGAACTTCCACCAAGAAAAGCCAGTAAAAAAAAGTCAGCCTCGCATAAAGTGGCCATTTTCTAACCTCAACAATTATTCCCAGAAAAATCTAGTCACAATTAAAATTTTCAGGTTTTTGTGTATACATTTTTTATTGACTAGGTGTTAGGCGTTGAACTGATCATGGTGAGTAACACTGCCTGCAATTAAAAAAAAATTGGGACAAACAATGGAGTACACAACATAGTCAAGTAAAGATTTTCAAGGGACAAATGCTTCCCCACTTGAGCATCTTTTCATGCCATTTTTCATTTTAAATTCTATTTACTAATACAGTACAGTAATTAAATGATTTGCATGAGAGAAAATATATTGGAATTCATGTTTTAATTGGGTTGAATTTTAATTATGATTTTTTACTTGATGTAGTTTTTAACCCTTGTGCAGCAAAGTTTGGATATTAAAAAAAAAATGTTGTGCACTTGAGCAATGAACATTTAAAAAAATTAAAATTTTTCACCAAGGCCTAAGTCAGGGAAAAGTCCAATATTTTTTATTATTGTGCAGAAAAATTTGGCTTCAAGAAGAAAATCCTTGCTGAGTTGCTTTCTTTTAGGAATTCCTTGGATAGAATTAGCATTAGAGATTTTGGAATACAAAAGAATTCACCCTTCATGGATTTTTCCTGACTTAGGCTTTCCCAACCTGGGATTATTTCACTATATTTCACTGCCCTTTGGTCTAAGTGAAATTCGTCACCTGCCAAAAAAATCCCGAATTTGCCACAGAACAGCCAGGAACCCTTTGTCATTCAAGGGTTTAAAATATTGGTTTGGGCAACTGAAAGCTGAGGTGTGCATCATTTCTGGCATTTATTTTATAAATCGTCAGCTAAAAAAAACTAAAATTGCGCATCTTACTTAAGAAACCTGTGGTCTTGAAAAATAAATACAGTTTCATTGGGTTTTTGAGATGAAGCAACATTTTGGTTTTTATTGTCAATTTGTCAAAACATGAAAACACTTGAATCAGTCTGGGCTATGGCTAGGAATTTCAAGCAAAGAAGGTATTTCGTGCCAAATATAAATCAGATCGTCAGAATAATTTTTATTACAAGATAAACTGATGCACACTTACAAAGCTACTAATCAAACTTAATGACTATTTCTAAAACTCTCTTACACATATTTTATTTGCCACATACCTTAGGTTTCTGTTAGGATTGCTTCATATATGTCAGAAAATATCAACTTGATCGCGTTTTCAACGTAAAAATAATTTGGGCTTATAAATTCAGTGTTGCCAGTTCTTTTCAACTAAACATTGTTTTGAAGTAATGATTTTCTTGCCATTTTCCGATTCATTCCCTTTTTATTCCATTTTTATTTGCAGTGACATCTACCCGCACGAAAGCTTAAATTGTTTGTGAAATTTGACACTTGACAGAACTTTTTCACATATGTTTTTGCGAAAAGCTATCATTATTGAACTTTTTCAAAGCCCAACCAGGACCTGCGCTTTATTTGAAAGCTCAGGGAACAACTTTCATTCCCCCAAACGAATGAGATTCTCGTTACTGAAAAAAAAAATATTCAGATTTTCTCTGGAATCTTAGATGCAATCCAAAACTGGACTTTCGTTTTTCGCATCAACAGCTCTTCCTAGTACTTGAAACTCGCTTTATCGGTTACGAAATAATCGGGCCCCTAGTCATTTGCTTGTTCCTCCCCGCTGTTTTCTTGGATCTCGAATGTGTCGCCTGATGGCGTTGCAGAAATTTGTTAACACAAGGGCTTCGTTTTGTTTTTCATGTCATAATTTCGTGCACGCGGAAATGAATATTCAAAAAAAAAAAGAGGTGAATATGAAATATCGGGATAAAACCCAGGGCTTTTTTTTCGCTGAGTCATCGTCGTCGTTAACCCCGAGATTGCGAATCGCGGTCACGATACGGAAGATGAATCCGAGATACAAGAAAGATGGGAATATTCTGAAGAAGAAAAAAGACGCATTTCTTTTGCGTAACATAATGATGAGACATTTTTGTTTCGTTATCCCGATTTTTAAATTTTGGTCTTCTGTGGCCGAAGGATTAAAAATCCGTCGTCCAGAATATTTCATAGACTGAATATACGAATATTACATCAAACTTGGCATTTTTCGAAGGAGAGAAACAATTTGCGAACTTAATAAATACAGTATCAGAATACATTTATGAAGAAACCCTAATTTTAAATTCCTCAAGATTTGGAATTAAAATATAAAATATGAACAAAAAGTACATGTGAACTAGGAACATTATCATTAAATTTTAATTATTCTTTCCGAATATTTAACATATAACTCGATTTAAAAATATGACTGAGCAACTGAGAAACACTCGTGGAACTTGATATTATTCAATGCTGTGAAATTAAAATGCATTCATGACTACCATTAGTGACATCTACCCATAAGAGAATAACAAACCAACATTTTTGATAATGTACAGTCAACACCCTCACCTAACATACCTTTGGCTAACGGGGTTTTTAACGTACCGCTTCTGGAGGAAGTTTTTTTTTATCCCATTGAATGTACCAAATCCATCCAACCTCCTTCAGTCAAATTAAAATTTTCAAGCTGTAAAACTTTATAGAAAATTCAAATTCATCTAACTTAATTTTTGTCCAACATACTTTTCCACCGCAAAAATTGAGATGAGGGTTGAATGTATACCGATTAATTTATGTAGACAGATTTTTTTATCTCCTCTAAAAGTGGAAATAAAAATCTGAAATTATCCCTGGACACATTAAATATATACTGTATTTCTAAACAATTTTATTATTCTGGCATCATGACTGTCAAGAAATTTAGAATAGCTTGTTTACTGCATAGAAATACTGTAATTTCAACACTAAAAAAATATTGAACATTTGAGCTACATTTCCGGATATTTCTGAGTGCAGGTATTTATTTTTACTCGCAGTATTTTTGTTATCGCATTGCCGTATTAATTGAGAAGATAATCTTTCTTGCTGTACATCATAAATTTTTAGCTCAACCAGAATAATTTTTAAATAAACTCGCTCATTTCGGGAAAACTTCATACTTGAAACGCCGACTAATTTCGTTAAAAATGTATCTAAACTGCAGTTGCGAGATATTTCTGAATATTTTTCTTCCAGGTCGAGGGATTCGAGCAATATTCAGACTTTGGGAGACTCAAATCGTGTAAATTAGGGTCAACATTTCGAAATCTCCGAGTGATGAATTAACACTCGCCTCATGTACCGAGTCGAGTGTGAATGAGTGAGCGTATGAATGAATGACGGAATGAAGTTGCTTGATTTCCTGACAGACAACCAGAACGTGACATGAGTACAAAAACACTCTCTCATCCTCTTCTTCATCTCATCTTCTGATTATAAATAAAACACACACACACACACACAGAAAAAAAACACACGTTTTAAAACTCAATGATTAACTTCACCGATGGACGCGATGCGTGATTAATGTTCTCGTTCATCCCGCTCGAATCGAAACGCTTTTTCAGTGATTTATCGACGTTTATAAGAGAATTTAAAAATAAACGTTTTAAAACTCAATGATTAACTTCACCGATGGACGCGATGCGTGATTAATGTTCTCGTTCATCCCGCTCGAATCGAAACGCTTTTTCAGTGATTTATCGACGTTTATAAGAGAATTTTACGGGTCCAATTTATTCAAGGAGGAATTGTGTAATATATTCGAAGGGTCATTTATTTGATGGGAAGATTAATTTATGCATTTATTTCGGCCGAAATTCTCGCGTTCCAAGAATAACCCCGGAAAATGATAATTTAACCTGATGTTGCATCAAGAATCTTGGCCCGAAATTTGGTGCAATATTTTTTTTTCATATTTACACGAACAAAGGATATGAGAAGCAGTTTTGAAAACGTGTATTTCAGTTTTCCGTTTCGGATTCACTTTTAAGAAGTACCAGCTTTTTAAAAACTGGTTCCTAACGGGGGAAGAAGCTGTTTTGTTTCATAACACCATCAATCACTTGGTCAGGGATTTTCTCCACAATATGTTGTTCATTTCCTGTGTAAAGTGTGCAATTCATTCACGTGATTTACTCGTTAATTTCGAATCATTATTGACGGAAGGAACGGTGCTTTGAATTTTATAAATGTTTTACCATACAAAGAATTCGAAATATACGAAAAAGCACTTATCCCTGAATTCTGTGACCTCATCGTCTTACATTTTTTATTAAAGGGAGTAAGATAAACCTGTGAAGATGAAAGGACTTGAATTTTTGAAAGAAAAAAATCTCTCTCAAGCCCCACAATAAATTTGAACTTCAGGTCCCAGCAATTTGACTCGCGGAATTTCAGGGGGAAACGTGCTGGTCGGTACTTTCGTAAAAATGAGTTTAATCATGGGAAGATTGTGGTTACGGAAAGAATTGCAACCCGATAAAAATGCCATGGAAAAAAATCTCCACTAGCGTACCTCAATTCACCCCGGCCGAGAGAAATACTGTATATTTTAAAGTCCCATAAACCTTTGCTGCTGTGGGAAAAGTTAGAAATGGAGATTTGATATCTCTCGAACAAATTGAGCTGTAAAAATTTTTAAAAATTGATATTAAATTAGATATTTTCTATTGAATGAATTGATATTTTGATATCTCTTGAACAAATTGAGGCAGTTGAACCACAATAATTCAAACACCCTTAAGTCAAATATCTCCTGAAGACAATTTTTTAAAGTTCCTGTCTGAATTCCTGATGTAGAAACAATACATTAAAAACCTCCCTAACTCAAAGGCTTTTCCTGTAAAACCTCAAAAAGTCAAATTTTCTGAGGTTTTTCTGGGATTTATTTTCTTGACGCAGAAAAAAAACAATAAAAAATTGAATTTGGTGTGTTTTGAAAGGATGTGACAGACTAAATTGGACAAATGAACCCCTGCCTCGTCCAAGTCCAGCATTGACTCATTTTAGAAGCCATTTAAATCCCAGAATATCATCATCTAAAATTCATTGGAATTCTCGTATGTTTCCCAAAACAAAAATGCTTGGTTTCACAACTCAAGCATCTATATAACTCAAAACCCCCCAAAGTCAAATTTTTGAAGGTCTCTTGAAATTCAACTTATTATAGAGGTTTGAATGTACAGTGGCCCCCCGCCTAACAGACCTCCCGTGTAAGGGATTTTCGGCAAACAGACCAGCTCTGCAAGCAGTTTTTCCTCCTGCCCAACAGACAAAATCCACCAAACAGACTTTTTTGGTTTATTGANTTTTCCTCCTGCCCAACAGACAAAATCCACCAAACAGACTTCTTTTGGTTTAAAATTAGTGTTGAAAATTGAAATTTTTAATTTTTTATGTAATTGAATTTGTGTAAAGGACTTTTTGTCCAACAGACTCGCCTCTTGCACGAATCAAGTCCATTAGACGGGGGTTGAATGTATATTTTGATATCTCATGAATAAATCAATACATGAAATTCTCTTGAAAAAATTGAGCTACTGTACCATGTATATGTATGCAGAAAAATTGAAAATAGAATTACTCTGATCAATAAACCAAAAAAAAGGCCAATTTTGTGCTTTTTTCCATATTGTGCGAGCAAAGTACAGCATTACTTATTCCTTGCTTCTTGAGCTACTTCTGATGCCACAGATTCTCTTTACTGAAGTTGAAAAGATAAGTTTTATTCAATTTTTTGGGGACTCTATTCCTGATTTTTGATGAACAACAATGATTAAATAAATATGCTCTCATTGAAATATATATGGGAAAAACGTGATGGATGACATTTGATTCTCTTCCAGTCTCCTCCAGACTGATGCATTGTTGATACATTTTTTTTTTTATATGGAAGCAAAAGGGAGAACGAGTGACGCACACGTATATAGTCAGGACCCTTGGATGATGGGTTCGCGAGTTTACTCGGCGATTTCAAGTTACGACATCCCCCCCCCTCTCTCAGGAGCAAATGAGTTTCAACAGCGTTCATCAAACAGCCGTTCTCGCATCAGACTCGCGCCTGCTGAGTTCCCACTCTATACAGCGAAGAATTCTTCCTCATGTCACTATATTTTCTTCTTCTTCTTCTTCCTTGTTTTCTTCTTCTTCTTCTTCTTCTTTTGTAAATTGTTGTTGTGGGGGAAAGAAGGAAGAGCAGGATGTGACCCGGGGAACGATGCGCGGAAGGAAGCGTTACACAACTAGCGAAGCCCCGCGGCGCATGCGTAATAGGTCGTGACACTGAAGTGAACTACTGAACTAGACACTAGCATTTCCTATACTGTCTTCTTCTTCTTCTTCTTCTTTGTGGCAAGTGTGTGGAGTGATACCACTCGTCGGAATAATGCTCAGTACTCCATATTTTAATCAAGAAGCGTCTTTTTTTTTTTTTGCAAGTTTCAAAAGAGGTTGCCGTCGTCGGAATGAACACACGCAAGAGGAAATGTGTCTTCCTAGTATATAGTGTCACTCAAAATTGTCATCTAGTTCTGATTCAGCTACATATATATATGTATATTTTTTTTTTCGATGCAGGAGAACCTCTTATTCAAGTCAAACTCGGAGGGAACGAGAAAAAAATGTCGATTTGTCGAGTTTTGGGGCAGAGAAAATCAGCATTTTTGCTGGAAAAAAATAATGAATAGAAGAAATTTTTTTGCTATTTAGGGCTTTTGAACTTTTGAAATGGTGAGTTGACAGGATGCTGATCTTGGAGGCAGCAATTTTCCCATTCATTCACTCACATCCTTTCAAAAAGGATCAGGGTTCAATTTTAATGTTTTTTTCTTTTTTGAATCTCCACAATAACAGGAGCTGTATTTAAATAATTACAAGAAGTACCGGTATTTTGAATAAATTTAGCAGAAAAATTGGGTACTCCTGGTATGTGGGTACCATATTTTCTCTGATAAATGCCTGGTCTCCAATAGAGGCCTGTCTCTATATAATAAAGGCTGGGTCTCAGAAAAAACCTTGACGCAAATAATAGCCAGTCTCTATTAAATGCTGGGAGAAAAGTCCAATTCCTTAAATTTTCTAAATTTAAATTGAAATAATCCCAATGGTTTGGATGAATATCCAGAAAAAAGGACCTTGCAATGGAATTGAAATCAGGCAAATGTTTACAATACTGTACAGTATTACCCACAGAAAATAAAATAGATCCTCCAATGTTAAAAATTCCCCAAAAGTGGACTAGAGTCCATGATTATGGCAATAATTTTTTTAGAGACATTTAAGAAAGTGCGTATCAATGGAAAAATAGTTGAATCAAAAGAAGCACGATTTTAAACCTGAAAGAAGGCCATAAAATTTTTGAATTGAGAAGAAAGACTTTATTTTTAGACTAGGCTTCTTATCCTGGAAAACCTCAAACTTTTTCTATTGATAGCTTTGTAAAAAAAAGTCTCATAATATTGCACAACTTTTGTTGCGCAAGTTTTTTTCTAGCTGTTGAAAAATGTTGGATGATATTTTAGAGATCCGTTCAATAAACATTTTTACGATTTTGATAAATACTGTTAAAAAAGTCTTGAAAGAAAATTTATTTATTTGAGTTTCAATAAGTTAATCCATTTTTATGCAAGGATTCGGTGTGCAGAAATAATTTAAAAAGTGCTTCTGACGTAAAAATAACATAGCTATCGAAAAAGCTTTTTCAGCTTTCAAGCCACGATAAAAAGTTTTTATTTTCCGTTCGAATGTTTCTGCGAAAGCCTGTGAGAACCCTGTAATAGTTCACTGCATGCTTTTTCTCAGTGCCTCGAAATGAGTCGAAAGTGATGGAATAACTCGACAGTTTCTTGCTAAAATCTCTGCTGTTTTAAGAAGCGCCAATTTTGTTTCCGGATTCCCTGAGAAACGAGTGAAAACTTTGAAGAAAAAAACCTTTTTTTTCGTTCCAGTGTTTTTTTTTTCTTCGGAAGCGAATGTTTTCCCATGAAAAGAACTTCCGTTCCTTGTAAAAAAAAAAGTGCTGATAATTTTGCAGCTTCCGGGGCAATATGAACCTTTTTCTCCATCGACGAAGTTTTCTCCTTTGATGCATCCACATTTCGCGTGCGGAATCGTCTGTAATTTCCGCCCAATCTCTTAATTTTTGCAGTGCGAAAATGTTTTGGCCCGTGGTTATGATGAAAGATAACTCGAGGTTTGTTACGCTGATGGTGCTGATTTTTGCGGAATTAGCGGCTCCGGAAACGACAGCAGCGCCGGAAACTACGACCACGGATTTTGCAGACTTTTCCGATGCCAGCACTTCGAGTTTCTTTGAAAGAGGTTCGTTACTTTTTGACGACTTTTTCAATAAAATCCGAAAGAAGCAAATAAATTTTCGAGTTATTGTCCTTCGGAAATTCATCTGGTACTTCTCTTGGGTATACTTGACAAAAGCGGTTTATGACGCAGAAGTAAATCTTGTGATTTAAGTCGCACTGTTTTTTTTTTTAATCTAACTGAAACTCACAAGCGAGGATTTTAGACTCAGACAATTTTTACAAAAACTGGAAGCTTTCGCTTTGAAGGACGAGCAGAGTTGAGCAATCACGGAAATTGAAAGGAGAACTCATTTTCGTTTGTAAGAATGAAAATCATAAATTTTGCGCTGTGGAACTTGCCTATGCTAGATACTAGTATAATAGCTATAGAGAGCATATTTTTTTTTTTGCAAAAAAATTGAGGTTAGACGGTGCAGATTACCTGGCTTTGATTCAAAGGATGAGACTCGAGTTGGACTTTCAAAATATCTCAAGATGATTCAAAAATTTAAAGCAACCTTCAATTTCAGCATTGATAATCCAAACTTGTAAAAATTGGATAATTTTTCAAAAAGAATCTGGCTCCTTTTCAAGCGTCGTGAGAACTATATAGAAAATTTGAAGTTGTCCTGGAACCTTCTTGATTTAATCTGTTTTACATTTGTCATCAAGCATTATTGGAAATATTTAAAATTTAGCTCTTCACATTCCGTAACTGTTCTGAGTGAGCAAAATGAAGATCTTGATCATTTTTATATAAAACAAACGGAACTAACAAGTCTTTCGTTTTGTAACGGAGGGAGTTCGCTTTTCGATTTATGTAAAATATTTTAATAGAAATAAGTGATATAATGAAAAACGTCTTAACACACGGTGACACAATTTTAGATCACATTTTTTCGGGAAATAAGCAGATACAAATTGTTCTTTCATGCTCTCCACAAAGGGATTGTGAATCTTCTTTCTAGGAATATTGAAATGTTCTGATAATTTGACCAGAAAAAAATTCCAGTGTTCAATCCACCTGAATAAAGCCAAATCCCCACTCACATCTTTAGATTGCCTTCAAATTAGACTTCAAGAGGTTCAACCGACTTGTTCAAAAAATTGGACTTTCCCTCATCTGTTCAGCCTACTTCCATATAAAGATAAATTTTCAAAAAAGTAAGGATTGGATATTTTTAAAATTTTGCCCAAAGAAGTATGTATTGAGAAAAAAATTATGAAACGACATCAGTTCCTTCCCGAACACCTCTATACGGAATTCAAAAGCAGTCCCTTTTGTCCAAAATACGCACGTGGTAATTTATGCAAGCAAATATGGACATTCGGAATAAAGAACCACCCCTGGCAAT